CTCCTAACACCCAACCCAGTCTCACGGCATTTCGTGTTATAGTCACGACATTTCATCTATTGATTCGTGTTCACCAACACGATCACACAGAACGATTTTAAAAGCAATGTATTTCTATTGGTAGTTGTTTCGTGCCTGCAACACATATTTTTGTCCGGTCGGGTCTTGGAAGACCGGAAGCTGTGTGGTTCATAAAAACATGTTCTTACTCAATATCAAGCCACGATTATTGTTTTTAATTTAAAATCGTATAATGTCTGACTTTTTTTGCCGTCCGCGAGGAAAATAAATGGGGCTCAGAGCCTCAGAATACTGAAATCTGTATTTTTTCAATAATTGTTTCCTTCTAATTTGTTATTCTTATCTAAATAACACATTGTTATTTACTCAACAATAACACACAATTATCCTTGTTTTTATTTGTTTAATTCTATAATCTCTGGCTTTTTTGGCGTCCGTCAGGAACTGAATTTCAAAATAAAATAACCGGAAACAGATACACACCCACTGAACTGATTACCCAAGATCCTCAGCTATGGTTTAAGCTCGGTGATTGGATTGTTTAGCCGCAATGCACGTTGGGATATGGTGTTTATGCGATATGAAATCCAAAAAACATTTTTAAAAAAAGAAGAAAATAATACTTTATTCCGAGTGTGCTTGCTTTTCTCTTTGAAAGTCATCACATAACGGCATTGTAATACACGGTTCGGCTGCATTAAATATTACATCTGCCGTAGTTCTTTATTTATAGAGCCCTGATGAGAAGACCTTTGGACAAACTGGAAGAACTGCCACCGAAACTGAATATGTGACGTGGATCATAAATATATCAGCAATTAAACAACATCTTCAATATCTCTTCACACAATACGTCTCCTTGCAGTATCAACACTAATTTGGCTGACTTTTATATTTAATCCAATTGGTAGATAGGCTGTATTTACACCATAACGGTGCACAGCTGATAGAAAAGGACTTAAGATAAGAATGTAAATACTGAGTTGAGAGAATAGTCAGGGGATTTGGGTGATGGGAGACACATCTATGGAATCAGAATTTCAATAGCTTACCATTAAATGACGGATATACCTTTCTGTCTGTGATGTTTTACAAATCAGATATTAATGTGTAGAAGTAAAACATGAGAAATAGTATAGCAATATCCTGTAAGATTATGTAAAAACATGAATAAAACTACACATCTTCAGATGTTATACACTATTAGTGTCCTACACTAATAATTAGTGGTGCACGATAATTATCGGTCCGATATTAGGAATTATGACGTCATCCCGATAAACCCGATAAAAGTATTAATAGCCCCGATAATATACAATACATTTTATGGGGGGAAAAAAAGAAAAAATACTGCGGTGTGGGTGGATTGGGATGAGGGGCGCTTGTTTTTCACTCGGCTCCTCCCGTTTTGCCAGTACTGTGGTATTAGTGGTTTAGGAAGAGGGGAGTTATTCACAAATCCAGCGCTCCCTAACTCATGCCTGGCTGTGACGTAAATGGTGTGCGGCCGTGAAGCCAGGACAGTAAACAAACATGTCGTCGGTAGTATGGGACTATTTCAAAGTTTCAGAGTTAGATAGTTCGCTTGCTATTTGTATTAACAAATGCAGAAGTTCCACGAGGAGGGAAAAAGGCAACGAGCTATAATACTTCCAACCTGATTAGTCACCTGAAACATCGCCATCGCTACGATGGTGTGTTAAAAGCGTACAAAGACGCCTGCGCTGCTAAACTAGCTGCAAAGGCACCGGGGCTTTTACCTATCGACGAGGCTTTTGAAAAAGGCAAGAACTTTATTTGGGACAATAAATATGGTCACTTTGAAGAGTCAAAACTGTTCTTGGCTTTGTTTTGTTCATAGTAGTAATGCTCATGTCATTTGCTCACTACTAGTCTTTTTTTTACCACCAGGTGTGCAAAAACTACAGGTACATTTAATATATATATATTATTATATTATTATCGGTTATCGGTATCGGTCTTGAGAAGCAGGAAGTTATCGGTATCGGTTTCAAAAAACCAATATCGTGCATCCCTACTAATAATACAAAGTTATTATTGCATTGTATGCTGTGTGTACCTTGTGTGCACCGCCTAGTGGTTAAAGCATGTTACTGATTTTTCTTTTTTATATGTTATGTTTGATGAAAAAAATATTAAGAGTACATACTTTCATAGGGGGAAAGTAGAAGGTCAATGATAGAAATATAGAATATAAAAAATCAAGAAGATACTGTAAGTGATCTCTACAATAAAACAGTTTAGTGCAGAATGTACAAAGATATTAATAGGAGGAGGTGCAAAACAGAAAAACGAATTAACCGTTATTTAAACATTAAAGAATACATTAGGTTAAGGTCTTCTTTCAAATAAGAAAAAAGCTTTGGGGGTATCTACAGATAAATATTAAGCCTGACAAAGTACTTAACGTCTAATATATTGCTTTCCTGCAATGTTAACTATGTTGAAGCACTTATTTTAACTGATATTATACATATTAATTATACTCTTATGTATGTAGATAGAATAAGAAATGTGCAGAATATGACAGTTTAATGGTGGAGGTACACACATATTGATAGATGTCTTGTAATGCACTGTTGAGGAACCTGTGACCAAAGTTGTTCATTCATTGCATAACTACACCGTAGTTGTGTAGGCCTATATGATATGTCAATAAACCTTTGAAAATCTTGAAATCTTGAAAGGGATGTGCAAAATAGCCATAATATACAGTCTTTAATTAACTATTAGTAGAGAATAACGAGTAATGAATATACTTTAGAGATCTGCAGATACATCTTCAGTCTTCTCAAGCACCAACTAATATCTCTCCTGATTGTTGGCACTTGACAATCACCTTCCCTGAATTTTACTCAGGTGTAACTAAAGTCTGATTTAAGGGTTGTTTATATTTCACATCATTAAATCAGAATCTGCAAAGTAACTCAAATAAATGTAGTGGAGTAAAAATACCAGGTTAACCTCTGAATTGTAGTGGAGTAGAATTACAAAGTAACAATGAGATGTCATGTGGATATATATTAATGCTGCGCATTATGGACACAAGCGATTTTCACCCATTTATTAATTATATGTTTTAAATGTGATAACACCAATGTGTTTAATACTGGCAACTTCTAATTGTGGGAAAAACGAAAACGTTCCCATTAGAGACGTCCCATAGAACATTTTGCGAAACAAAATAGCCAGCATGTGTAGTTCTGGGGGGGGGCGGGGGTAATCAGTTCAGTGGCTGTGTATCGCAATGATGCTCGAAATGTCCCTTATAGGCCTATGTCTGTTTCCGGTTATTTTATTTTGAAATTCAGTTCCTGACGGACGCCAAAAAAGCCAGAGATTATAGAATTAAACAAATAAATAAAAACAAGGATAATTGTGTGTTATTGTTGAGTAAATAACAGTGTGTTATTTAGAAAAGAATAACAAATTAGAAGGAAAAAAATATTTAAAAAATACAGATTTCAGTATTCATTTATTTTCCTCGCGGACGGCAAAAAAAGTCCGACATTATACGATTTAAAAACAATAATCGTGGCTTGATATTGAGTAAGAACATGTTTTTACGAACCCCACAGCTTCCGGACTTCCAAGACCCGACCGGAAAAATACGTGTTGCAGGCACGAAACATACTACCAATAGAAATACATTGCTTTTAAAATCGTTCTGTGTGACATGAAAAAAAGGGGGAAATCGTGTTGGTGAACACGAATCAATAGAATACATTTTGTGACTATAACACGAAATGCCGTGAGACTGGGTTGTAACACCATTACAACTCACACATTAGACAAACAAGGTCAATTAGTGAACTTTCGCAGAGCTGCTAGGCTTATTTTGTAATTGTTGGACAAAGCCAGGCTAGCTTTCCCCCAGGCTTTATGCTAAGCTAGGCTAACAACTCCAGCTAGGCTATACTATTGAACATACAGGTCTGAGAATGGTATTATTCTTCTCCTCAATTGCTCAACAAGAAATGTATGTTCAGAACTGTGAAACTTTCTTTAAAACTGCACTAAAAATCCACTTTTTAAGTCAGACTTTTATGTAATAGTCATCTTGTTTAGCACTTGTCCGCAGATGAGCAGCACTGTAAACCTCTTTCCTCAGTCATGTGAGCAAAGCTAAAACGGTACATCTGTGTTTTTGTCACTTTCTTTCATGGTATATCAGACTCTTTCTCTGTCTACATAATTGGATTCATTTTCCCTGGTCGGCAGCTTTTTGTCTTCCCTAAGAAATCAATTCTAAGCACCTGTCACGTTTCAGTGCTGCTTACGTGTTTTGAGAGCTATGCACTTAAGATAACTGTCATCTTTTTCTTCCTACCTGTGTATTCAGGGAAGCAGATGCTGAGTGCAGACTTCTTGATCTTCTCTAAAAACAGATCCTTCTTGTTGAGGAAGAGGATGATGGAGGTGTCGATGAAGAACTTGTTGTTGCAGATTGAGTCGAACAGCATCAGAGACTCATGCATGCGATTCTGTGGAGGAAGTATGAAGAAAAAGGGGGAGAGAGAAAGGAAGAGATTGAAATAAAAGAAGGATGACATTGAGGAAGGAGGAGAGAGGAGAAAGATGCCAGGGAAGGGACAGAGAGTGAGAAAGAAGGGAAAAGTTATAATCAATCTAAAAATAGACCGAGGAAAGGATCAGGCCAGAGTTCAAATGTGTTTTACTTAAACACAAAGATAGAGACAATTGCAACACCCCAGCCTCTTTCCGATTACAACTTTTGCAATAGAGAGAAGAAGATTAAATAAAACATTTTCTAAACAAGTACAGTGCTTGTGCATCTCTGATTACATTCAGTACAACTTTACAGACAAAGCTACCACATGTGGGTTGATTCATTTGTCTCACTAACACCAACAAGAAACAGTGCAACCAGCATTAAATGAAAAATATGCACACACACAATCATTAGGTCAGGAAAATAATCACACACAACATCAAGATACTTATGTGGTGCTTTATTGTCATTTGTCTTATGTATAAATACAATGTTCAATAAATTATCACAGCAGTGAGCGAGATACAGCAGATATATTTTACTTACAGTGCTCAATACAATACCACACCCACACACTTACAAACACACACGCACAATAAACAAGCTTGTAGATTTTGCTGTTTGACCTGTACAGTATATATTGGTTGGTATGGACAGAGGGGTTAAATAAAGTGGATAGTGGAGGGCTGAAGGTTAGAAAAGCGACAGCAGTAAGGGAAGCTAAACGTGAGGACTTTCAGCAGCTCATACTCCGACTCCTTTATTCGACACAGGTTCATTATGGACGCGCCCTGCAGCTTTCAGTCAAGACGGTTTGGCTACTTTTTGGGGATTTCAGAAATTGTTTATATTGCAGAGGCATTGAATTGGCACATGGTGCATGTGTCACCATCTGCTGTCCAGATACATAAGGACCTTTGTTACATGAATAGGCCACTGATTGTGTTATGTTACAGTTACCCGTACACCGACTAGCCTGACTTCAGACCACATTACCTACAAATCTCTCTTTCGCTGCAGCTTATACAGTAGGAGTGTATCATTCATTTATGGCTGGGATTGGCAGGGACATAAACTAAATTACCCACTATCCTCTCTGGTTCGCTCTGATGTTATATTTCACTTGTTGGGATTCATTTGAGAGGTTTAGGTGTTAAGGTTGGCACGTGTAGGACACAGTAGGACTACTGTAGGCTATTTTTATTATATGTACAGCACTTTAGCTCGACCAAAAATCGTTTATAAATGTGCTATATAAATAAAACTTGATTTGATTTACCATTTTCTAATTTGATGTGGTTTATTTTAATAACAGTGGGCATTTTTTGGTCCAGTAAACCAGCAATTATAACCAAAAAAATCAAGAAATTCCAATTGAAATTGACACAATTAGGGGAGGATCTCACAGGGGCTGAGTTAAGGCATTTGAATAAAAACACATCTTCTTTTTTTTTAATCACTTCTCAATTGTTTATTAGGTGACTTTAACAGTGTACACATTCTGAAATTCTACCCAAAAAGTTACTCAATTTAATAAGGTATGCTGACATTATTTAAGTATGCAAGAAATAGTAATGCTCCTTTAAAATCAATTTAAAATGCATTTAATTTGCTGCTGGAGCAGAAACGTGGATTCGTCCTGTTCTCTGCGCTGCCAGAGGCATGAAAGAAGCTAGAGGAGACAAAGCTCCAACAGTACGCAGACATTGCTACCACGAGGGCAAAAACAAATGTAGGCATATCCTTTCAGCTGCATGTGAATTGGAGCTTGCTAACCTACTGTGGATACAAAATTCACCAGCACATTGTTCCACAGCTCATGTCGACTGCTGGCTGCTCTTTCATGCAGAAAAATAAGCACATGAATGTAGACAAATAAAAGCTTTCCACACCGTAACCTGCCCTGCATTAAGTGAGGATGATGATCAACAAAATGATTCAGTGGCAGGGCATTTGGGACAGATAATTTGTGTAATGTAATTTAGTGGTTCTATTGGTTCAGGTTCTACTATAGTGCAAACGTTAAAATAGTGACAACAGTTTGTTTTTTCTTTGCAGTATACTGCATTCAAAATAACCTTGAAATGAAAGCAGAAAGGCTCAGCATGTCAATGGGAAATATTCTTCTACAGTATGGACATTCCCATTAGTGGAAAGTGAAGTTAAGAAGTGCATTCAGAGACTGCTTTTAGGTGATCTTATTTGCATCTTTTCAGGACAAACCATTATGATGTTTTATGCATATTTCAAGTTGTATTTCTGCACAAAGATGATTTCTCATTATATAATTCATTTCAGAAGAGAAGATTACAATGTAAAAAGCCTGCAGCAGCAGCGGCCGGCTTTATGTTTGGCATAAGAACCAAAAAACATCCGAGGCTTTCTGGTTGGATATGGGGGTCTCTTTTTGTATTTTTAAGTCCCCTGGGTGTGTTAGTGCCTTCAGTGTATATGTGCGTGATGAGAGCCTACGTGTGGAAAGGGTAGACCGGTGCCTTCTGGGTAATTAATCCACATATACTGTCTCCGCCACAACCTCCCATGGGCTGATGTTCACACACACACACACACACACACACACACACACACACACACACACACACACACACACACACACACACACACACACACACACACACACACACACACACACACACACACACACACACACACACACACCACACACACACACACACACACACACACACACACACACACACACACACACACACACACACACACACACAGCTGTAATTGTTGTCACAGATGTGGTAGGAGGGGTCGGTGACGTAATCTTCGTTGAAAAATAAATTGCGTTCTTGAGCAGAGGCAGAAATGGCCTTGCTGTATGAGTGTGGGGGGAAAGTGGTATGAAACAAATGCCCTGCTCATAAATAATTAAAGAAGCAGAGAGCACTCATAACAGCAAAGCTGTAAACACACTCAGCTCAGTCTATACAACAAAGTCCTGAGGACAAACAAAGCTCAGTTCCTACAGTATATGTAAACTGTTGCTCATGATATTTACCTGGTATTTAATGTATCTCTTTGGCTTTAATGTCAATGCTCACACTTGGACAGTTCCCACACAACACTTTTCATGGTATCTAAACCACAGTTCAACCATACAGCAGCTTTAGGACAACTTTACTTACTGCTATCGAGCACAAATTGGGGTTAAAACAATAGTCACAAGGTCGACATTCAAGTCCCAGAGGATGACATGTACTCACCAGCACACAATCTCTCAAAGCTCACCTTGAGAGAGAGAGAGGTGGACAATTGTGATAATGCACTGTGCATCAGTGCAGTCAGAACATCTCTTCTGGTAGCGCTTCATTTAAAGTGATTTTATACAAGTCCCTTATACGCTATGAGGGCTTGGGAAAATCAATCCTTAAATACGACTAGAGGTGACGTCCACTGGGAGGAAAAAGGAGGGACGAATAAAGAGCAACTTCCTCGCTACAATTTCCAATACAAACTAAATATTGAAGGTAGAGGTTTAAGAAAAGAAATGATGCGGCTCTATTTAGTACAACTACTAATAATACAATCTCCATTACAATCTTCTATAGGGACCATTGACCAAACTAAAATGTACTCAAGGCCAAGGCACTAATCACGCGATTCCTTTGCGACATGGAAAAACCCTTCAGTTCTGCTGTACTTTTCAATAAAATGAGAAGCAACCATTGCTCAAACCAATACTGATGCTGCATAGCTTTCAACAAATGACACAACAGACAATAAATGACACAACAGACAATGTCTATGCCTAAATGAAACATCTCTACAACATATAACAAAACTATATTTGAGCTTTTTCTAAATGTGTTATCATATTTCTTAAATCCTAAACTTATATGAAGCGTCTTTGAAATTATTCTAATTGCATGAGATTGAGGTTGTAGAAAAACAATCATAGTCAAATTGGAAATAAAGCGGGCATATTCAGACAACAGCCTTGTTTAATATGTGGATTAATAATACACTTTCCGAATGATCTACTCTGACAATCCCTCTCCTCCCACAGGTTTTGAGTGAGGCTTTGCTGCTGACGAATCGATGCTGAAAAGAGCATGTTTGCTTCTCTAAGGACAGGACGAGATGGACACTTATCCATTTTGTATACTTGTTGAGGCACAAAGCAAGCTGTTTGATAAGCAACTACATGATGGACAATATTAAACCAATGAATACGAAATTAGACTTATTGTGATAAAATGCATACGGCTATGAGAGAATACAGAACATCTAATAACAATTTGAAAAAAATCTAGAAATACTTTATTTAAAGGTGGGGTATGTAATTTATTTCAGAAACACTTTTTGTTATATTCCATGGAATGCTCTTAACATCCCGATAGCAATGAATATATTAAATGCTTTGACAATAAATCCATCAAAAAATCATCATCTGTGGAACCCGTAGTACTGTAAAAAGCACGACCAATCATCTGAGCCGGCCCGGCTAAAGTAACTGGATGGCCTACCTGCCTGTCAGCCTTCCATCTGTGCACAAACTTATCTCGTGCCCTCATTGGTCATGTGCGCGTTCGTGTGTGTTGGAGGAGGGGCTCTGTAAGGAAGTAGCAGATTTTTTCCGGCTGTGTATTTTCAAATTCTAGCGCACTCGAGCTGGTTTCTCCAAAATTACCCACCCCACCTTTAAGTAAAGTTATTATAATGTGTTTTTATCATTCTTATTTTGGACATTTCTCTATTTTGAAAGTGTATTTGTCTTTCAGTGACAATCCAAGCCTGTTAGCAGGCTCAGCAAAGGCTATAATATAAAAAAAACATGTTTTATTGTGAATTTCATATTCACCTGACATAATTAATTAAGTTTGACTTCATCTAACAATTCTACAATGTATGCTGTTCTATCTTTTTGAGTACTTTGATGATTATTTTGGAGCTCCATAGTTAACAGAGCACAGCTAAGTGCAACAAATACAGTCAGACAACGTGCATCTCATCCCAATAACAAAAGAAAACAAATAACACAATCCATGCCAAATAATGCAGCAGGCTCACACACAAGCTACTTTGCACAACACCTACAGAAATTCAGTTTTTCTTGCTTTGAATTTCTTCTTGGTAGGCTGGACATACCCGTGTCCAGAGTTAAATATTGCATTCAATAATAATCCTAAGAGCATCTTTCAAACATAAACTGAGTTTTAATTCAACTTGACCTGATTAAGTACAGTTTTACATCTGCCCTCCATGTGACTAAGGCACAAGTCCCATGCAAAGGCGTTTAAATGAAAATGTATGGAAAATACATTGTGGTAGAGGACTGATAACAGCTGGTTGCACTGCTAGTTAACCTGTAATGTTGGCTGCAGTTAACTAGCAATCAATCTAGTTCTTTGAGTAAGGCACTACTGTATGTACAAGCAAGTCTCAGATGGGAACGGTGTATCCCTGTAGAAATGACTGAAGGAGTTCTGCACAGTTACTGCAGTTCCTTTCTAGGTAAAAAAGGCAAATACATTTAAAGAAGTCTCAACCAACCAATTCATTGTTTAAGAGTCAAGTTGGACCAATAGCCAGCCTTTTGGGAAAGCACTACCTATCATATCATGAAATGACAAATAAGGGCCATCCTATGTGGTACAAACTGGTAAACAAGCATCCTGCATCAATTGGCTGACATTTTCCTGAATTATCAGTACAAGCCACACCCCCGAAGGTTATTAGCTATGATGACATCAGTGACAGCATCAAAGACAAACTGGATGTTGTTGGTGTCTGTAGCGCAGGTCACATGGGCATACACCTCTTTGCTGGGCGACTTGTTCTTGCTCTCGTACTGACACTTGATGTAGTCTATTCCCTCCAAGTAAGTGTCTGGACCTGGGGAGAGAGACAAAGAGACAGAGATGACATATAGTGGGAGTCAGGTGAAGGCTACAAAGCTGTTGTCATCTGTATTTTTAAATCAGTGGGCGGTCCTACATTACCAGCATCATTGTTTTTGTATTAATCAAAACATAACCTTGGATTTTCTAGCTCAGCACACATACTGCTGACTGCAGACACTTTGATAAATATGAAAAATTGAAAGATGACAAATGAATTGCGATTAGAAAAAATGCATGTATCGGTATTGTTGGCAGTGTGCCTGTTTGAGAATATCTCCAATGTATCATAGTCTTTAAACAGCCACATTGTGACAGAGAATGAGTTCCCAGAGCCAAACGGGTGGAACCATTATTAATACTGTATACCGATTCATTTTACAGAAGGGAGAAATCTGCATTTGGTGTTTTAAATCTAATCTATAGCTTTATTTGATTTAACGCTTTTGGAAAACATCTACTTGGCTCTCAGCCAGTAGCAGAACTGTGTTTGTTTGTCAGAATAGGCACGAGGTCTGGCCATGTCAAAAGGATGAAGAGAGGGGAAGAAGAAGAGGAGGAAACAGGTTTAGAATCCTAATGGTGTCTTTCTCAGAGACTGGCTGTGCTCTCACTGGCTTTCCCACAGTCTTGCTTTGTCTGTTTTCTCCTTTCTTTCCCCCCTCACTCTTCTTTTTTCAGTCCCTCTTACATTCTGTTGTTCCCCCCCGTATCATCTTTTTTTCTCCTGCATCTACCTCACTCAAGCTTTTCTGCTTTGGAAACCTGGTAATACGCCTGGTTTCATTCACTCAGTTACTTTTCGACTTCTTTGTTTTGTTCCAGACTCTGAGCCTATTGTCTCTTTTTTGCTTCCTTCAAATGTCTGTTTCCCATTACGTCTATGTATCTCCTATCCATGTATCCTTCTTCAAACAACCCCTTGGTCTATTTCTCAGAGAACATTTGCCTTTTTTACGGATAATTGATCTCTTTGCGTATTTGCCGCCACATTCACCTATTTATCTTCTCCCTAGGATTTCTTCACAGGGCTCATAAGAAATGTTTTGAGTTAAATATGCAGAGAACTCGGGCTGATACGATAAAGGCCAGGGTTGACCAAAGATACATCACAGTGAAAATGTGCACTGACAACATGTACGTCTCAAAGTGAGAACTGGTTGTCTTTCCTAAATCTGGTACTCTTCAAACGTCACAGAACCTCCTAGTGTCCAAACCACTATAGAGTATAGTATTTGAACTAGTAATTGAGTATCCCTATGAGGTGCATGGATATATACCAGAGTACTCGGGGAAGCAGATGGACAGTGGTGACTTTCTGATCTTGCTTTCGAAGAGATCCTTCTTGTTGAGGAAGAGGATGATGGAGGTTTCGTTAAACCACTTGTTGTTGCAGATGGAATCAAAGAGCTTCAGAGACTCGTGCATGCGGTTCTGCAGAAGAGAAAAGGGTTAATTGGGCTTTAGAAAACATTCTTCTGTATGACTATTGATCATAAATACACACTTAAAAGTACAAACCAGACAAGTGACAACATTTGTGCAAATGTTTTCAGAAAACACATGCAGACAGATGAAGAGCCCATACTGCATACACACCATTGCAACACAAAGAGGAACTGAGTAAATACAAAATGAGAAAGCAGAACAGAAGTACTGAGGGGTTCCTCATGTCTGTGGACACAGCATTTCCTGCTGCGTGTGTAGATTTTATTTGTGTGTGAGTGCTTGTGTGTATCAAAGCATCATTAATAGCAATTATCAGTAAGCTGGGCGTTTCAGTTGTGTTAAACAAAGCCATGCACTTCTAGCTTCAAAGCGGCTGCGTTCTTTAACTGTAGGATGGTACCACGACTCAATGATAGCTTAAAGGTAACCTGTGGAGATTTGACCACTAGGGGCACTGTTGAGCAATGCATTAAAGAGGAAGCTCTCTTTTTGGAGTGCATTAGGTATTCTGCAGCGTGTGCTTCAGGACATAACCTGCTCACAGTGAGCAGAGGTTTATGTAATCTCCAGAGGCAACAACACTTTTTAAAGGTAATGAATGATAAAGGCTGCAGCATACCCTTGAATGAAAATAACACAAAACAGGGAGATGGAAGTGATGCACATTCAAATGAGCTTTGCACATTTCTATTTGAGGTAGGAAATTCAACGTGGCCCATTGGCCACAATGCATTTTGTGTTAGAAATACTAAAAGTTTACAATGAATACTCCACAGGGTATATAAAGAATAAATGCTAAACAAAATAAGTTTAAGGCCTAGATGCAAACACTGTTAAATAAGCATCTGAAATGAAACCAATACAAATAAGAACTTAACAAAATATGCTTAAACCATTAATGATTCAATCAATTTAGTAGCTCGTATTATTTTCATCATGAGGCACTTTTTCATGTTAGTATATCATGGGACTTTTTTTTCGGAATTGAGTTGTTAGCCATTGTAGTGTGCTTTGTTAGCAAAAGGGCTTCATAAATCACTGTACCTTGACTAATTATCACCAACATCCAAACCTCTGTTAGCTAATTGGTGAAAGGTGAAGAGCAAACAAAACATTGGTTTGACTTTTAATGCACATAATAAAACATAATAATCAATAAAGAAAACTAAGCATACTGCATGTAAAAGTGCTTAGTGATGAATATGTATATGACTGATTATTTTCAATAATGAGTTGAAAGCAGTTTCACTCTCGATATGATCCAGTATGGCCTGTTTAACTATCAACCAATCACAATAGAGGAAATTAGATATAGCCTTACATACAGGATATATCTATCTATACATATAGATATATAGATAGATGGATATATAGAATGATATATATATATATATATATATATATAGATATATAGATAGATAGAAAGATAGACGGATATATATATATATATATATAGATAGATAGATAAATAAACAGATAGATTGATATATAGAAAGATAGATAGATAGACGGATAGAGAGATAGATGGATATATATATATATATATATATATATAGATAGATAAATAGATGGATATATATATAGACAGATAGACGGATATATAGATAGATAGATAGATAGACGGATATATAGATAGATAAACAGATAGATAGATATATATATATAGATATAGATAGATACATAGATATATAGATGGTTGTATAGAAATATAGATGGATAGATACAGTAGATAGATGGATATATAGAAATATAGATAGATGACTGCAAAAAAGCACACACACAGCAACTTTAATGACTTATTCCACAAACAGACAGAGGCACTGCTTCCAACTCATTGTAAGTGTATTAACCTATGGGGAGGTTTCATACCTGTCTGTGGGTGGAGCATCTGTAGAAGATCTGACTGCTGATTGGTTAGAGAGGACAGTCGGTGGCGAGAGTGACAGGAGGAGTGGAAGGAGCCAGAGATGCTGCAGGACGGAGCTTAGAGCAGGAACAGAAAATGCAACGGGCCCGCTCACCCACCCACATCCTTCTTCCTTTACCCCGAAAACACACACACACAGTACACACACACAGTACACACACACAGTACACACACACAGTACACACACACACAGTACACACACACAGTACACACACACAGTACACACACACACACACACACACACACACACACACACCCCCCTAGTGCTGAAAAGAAAGTGTTTAGAGGCAGGAGGAGAGGAATTTATCCTGAGAAGATGGTATTGTGTGTGTGTGTGTGTGTGTGTGTGTGTGTGTGTGTGTGTGTTTGTCTTAAACTAGACCAGGAGATGCAGAGGAAAACGCAATGCAAGCAGTTCTTCATTAGAGAGAAGGGATTCACAAAGCAGCAGCAGTTTGTGTTGTACTGCATGTGTGTGCATATTTCTACAGAGCATTTATATGTTGACGTGGATATAAAAGAAAACATGTAGCATGACGCCAGTGAGGCGCTCTTTTACTCTATATTGTCCCATTACAATGAAAGACATTCACAAACAAACAGACAGAATCAGTTCAGCAACCAGTTCTATCACCATATTGACCTGAGGAAACCATACCATATCAAACAGATGCCACAAATGACAAGGTAACGATAGGTCTTGAGAACTCTTTAAAAGCACTAAATTGTTCAATAGGACACATCAGAATTATAACAAACAAGGTTAGCTACAGCACAGTGTTAATTTCGTCAACGAAAACTATGACGAAAAATGTTCGTCTACGACCTTTTTTACATGACTAAGACGAGACGATGACGAGCTAAAAATAGATTCTTGATAACGAAAACTTTGACGAAATGTATATTTAGTTTTCGTTGACGAGACGGGACTAAGGTGTTAATGGTGGACTATCGGACTTTCAAAATGCAGGCTATATCCCACCAATTGTCCGTCTTGTCTGTCAAAATGCATCTTACGTTTCTAACTTGCAATATCATTATTTCCGCTCTCTTCACTCCAGAAGAGCGATCTCTCTGTGTCTCTCTGTGTGCGGGGGGGGGGGGGGGTAGTAGCTAGGTAGGGTTATTCACCTGATATGTTAGGTACAGGATATGAGCAATTACTCTTTTCAGGGTTTCACCAATGATTTTCAATGACTTTTCCATGACTTCTCCATGACCGTTACCTAATTTTCCATGACCAAAAAAATTACTCTCTCAGCGGTACCTCTGAAAATGGTTTATTTTAACATGGAACAGGAAATAAGGTCTGCATATGAAACATGTTGTGCCTATCTAAAACAAATCAAATAGTAGGCTTACTAGCTTCTACACGCTAAAGCAGGGGCGGGCAAACTTTTTGGCTCGGGGGCCACTATGAGTTTTAAAATTTGACAGACGGGCCGGGCCAGTAGCATATCGGTAAAAAGATATTTAGCTGTCCACTCCTCATTATACACTCGGCACTCAATGTTGACTTTTCTTTTCTTTGGTTCACTCATTGTTACAGATGCAGGTGAATTAGGTTCAAAGGTGAATTATTGCGTCATGACGTAACCGTTTACGTGCCTTCTTATGACCCACACAGCGTTTTACGTCGCTGATTTTCTCCGCAACACCGCTCACAACAACATCAATAGAGGACTGCGTCGGGTAGTTTTTAATTATACGAAGCCAGATTAAATTAAAGAACTACATTGTTTATTAATGTGGTTCAGCTGCATTACTGCCTGCTGCAGTGCTGCTCGTCTACCAGAGTTTAGTCTCCCGTTAAGTCGCGGCAGCGGCCGCTGTAAAGTCTTCATTGTCTGACTGTCACACAAGCAGCTGATAAATATCCCCCATCCCCATAAGTGAATGTGTTTTAGTCTGAAAGCTGTTTGACATCACAACGCTGTTATGAAAGTTTCTCTGGCATTCTACAGGTGGTGTTAGCTAATCAGACTATCTTGACTACTTGTTGCCATCATATTGTGGCATAAGCCGTTTTCTACACGCATATTTTACCGGCGTAGTTTTCGTTATGATTTTACTTGTGATGGCCACATGTAGCCCATGTATTGATTCCATCCGATAGCTGCAATAATACAAAACAACAGGAAAACGTCTGCCTCTTCACAATGATCAATAACAATGAATGGTTATTAAAGTAAGGTAAAATAAACAGAATCACACTAAGCCTGGTTAGTGTTGCCTGACTTTATATAAGTGTTTTTATAAGTGTGTGGTCGCGTTCTAGTCACTTTGCTCAGCGCTACTGCTTGTTACAACTTGTATTCGCCGTACTCGCCATGAACTGTTATTGCTGCCGAGTGGGGCCAGCTGAGAGAATAGACCAGACTCCAGCAAAGGTAAATTGTGTCTAGAGTAGGGATGGGAACGATTAATCGAATATTCGAAATTATTCAGGTATTCGAATAATTATTCATGTATTCGAATATGAGTTATATACATTTTGTTTTGTTTTTTATACATTTTTTTTTTGGGAGTGATGCCTAAGTTGATTACATATTATCAAATTGAATAATTCAATGTATATATATACGACTATGCCATAGCTAAATGTGTTAGGTGAAGTCTAAAGGTGTGTTTTGCTCCGCTCACCGGTCCCTCACAGCGGGCAGAGCTGCAGGTGCTGATCTCTCTCTCTCGTGTCCGGTTATACTTCACTCGCGTTTATGTCCAAATCCATCAGATCTAGCTAGTTCTAGCTAATGATATGGCTGCTGCCCCTCCCTACACGCAGATCACGCAGACTCAAACCTCATCTTAGGCCCAAATGTGGCGCAAATGAGCTCCGCAGCCGTTGCGAGGTTCCGGCGCTAACAGTTCATGAGCGTGCTCCCCCGCCCCCTGTCAACACTCGCGACACATGAGTGGCCAGCCTAAACAACAATAAGCGCTGCTTGGCAACCGTGTGTGGCGGCAAAGTGCATAGACATTTTGGCAGGAGAGATTTAGTTTTGCCGGTATTCAACATATTTTACCAGTCATAGTCCGGTAATTATTTACACTCTAAGAAGAGTCCTACAGACATGGCGTCAAAAAGGAGTAATGTGTGGAAATATTTCGACCAGGTTAGTGAGTGCGGTGTAGAGGTCAAACTATGCCAAATGAAACTTATTTATACATGCTATACCTTGCTATACCAGCAACCTCCATTCCAGCTGAGAGGGTCTTCTCTACAGCTGGCCTGATTGTGAATCGCCTCCACACATGAAAGCTGTAGGCCTATAGCTGTCAAACTGTGATCACCAGTTCAATACATTTGACAAATTCGACTTGGTTTCTACACTTATTTGAACATGTATGTATTTCTAAAAAATTCTTGAAAAAAAATTGGGTAAAAAAAAAAAATTCTGAAAAAAACATTTTTTACCCAATTTTTTTTTTTATAGGATATGTACATTTCGGTTAACTGGTTAACCGTTTTTTGGGGGGTCGAATATTCGAATATACATTTGCTTTCAAATTCCCATCCCTAAGAGTGCGCCATCTAGTGGGATCAACTGAAATGCCGGGTATTGCAGGAAAAAGACAAAATTAATGCGGTCTTTTGTTTTTTTTTCATAACTTTTCCAGGGCCTGTAATCAGTATTTTGAATTTCCATGACTTTTCCAGGTTTTTAATGACCGTAAGAAACCTGTCTTTTTCACTTGATGCTAAAATATAAATGTCATAATCTACGACTTTTCTATTTCTCTGAAGACACTGCCCATGCTGGTAGTCACAGGGATTTTGGAAGATTGAATAACTTCTATCAGTTATACCGGGAAAACTGTCACATGTTTTCATATAAAAGACCATCATCTACTCAAACAGTGCTACATGCATAAGAAGGCAATATTGTTATTTAAAGTAATGACTCTGAAGTTGGCTTTATAATAATAATACCCCTAAGAGACATTGAGTAAACATTACTTGTGCATTATCTTACTTTTAAAAGGGCTGGCATATTAAGAACGGAGAGAAATCAACCTTTAGATACTCTTAACGTTTGTCCAGTCTGGATCAGTATTATGGGAAAAGCTTGCATTATAATTAAATTCAAAATGATGTCAATGAACTACCCAAAAGGGATATATGTATTACTTGATCATAATGGGGGAAGGGTATTCTTAGCTTTCCTATCTGATTGTAGAACATCTTCACTGCACATTGGCCGTACTTTATGAATCACATGCCATGAAAGTGTCTGACAGATGATGTGTGCGCATGCCAAACAAATATTTAGTAATTTGCCTGGTAATTATATCTCCCATGTTAGTGTTTACTCTTCAATAATAAAAACTAAATGTTGACCAGAACCCTATCTCATAAAACAAAAACAGACCTGCTATTACTGTTGACTGAACATGAACACATGTGGGATGCTAATGCAGGGCCTTGACTCTTGTTTTGTTTTTAATTGGGATTGGTTATTTACTTTTTGTTACACATATTTTGACAAAAATGGCCTTATCTATTTAAAGTTAGTTCGCAAAGATTAGGCTTTTTGAAGCTTAAATGCAAGAACCAGAAGTGAAAACCTAGACTATAAAGGAAATACATCAAGGTCTAATGGCTGTGCATCACTTCCACTAAGCTAAAGGCGGACGTACTGTAGGCAGTCGTAGAAAAAAACTTTAAAATCTGTTAGGCTTGTGTCAGCCAAGACCTCATTTTCAGAAAGCAAAACACAAAAGTGAGAAAAAAGATGAGGGAACGCGAGGCGGTAAAATGCTGGATTCAAAACTCCTTCCTGCTCTATTGAGGTATTGTCAGAGGAAAAATGTGTATCTTTATTTCATATTTTCCCTGGAAATATTGAATATCCCTTTGATGCTTAGGTTTAAATGATTTTTACTGTTAATGCTGTTTAGAGCGGAAATATTTTCTGATATCAAACACAATAGCACCTGTACTTAAGACATCACCATGACCTTACATTGCCTTCATTTAGGGACTGTTTATGAGTGTGTTTGCAAATACATATTTCCCCTTTTCATCTCACATTATCCTGGTGTTCCCAGTTCCCAGCTCACAGGGGGGCTTGATGACATCTGCATAAATAGAGCAGCTCCTGAGCATCATTTCCTGTGCTGGAATCCTCTGAGGATACACTTCAGGTTATATAAATAGCAGTGAGCAGCGTGCATTCAAATCAGCTCATTTGTTTTAGGTTACAAACAACGTATTTCCATGGCAGGGGGTAGCCTGTATGTAGTTCAGCACATGATCTCATCAAAGGTAACTATGCGTTACCACTCCCACAACCTTATAAAACCAAATAACAGATGTCGACCGTAACTTCCCATTATTAAAAACAGGTCATCTGCTTTGCCTTGTTTTGGAAATGTGTGGGAGAATGATTTGCATGTTTCCAATGCGCATTTTGAATATGGCCTTCAGCGGTGTTCTGTTGATTTATGTACTCATTTGTTTGGGATAACGGAGGATCAATATTATGATATAGACATTTAAAATAGATGCAAAATAAGAGTACAAATGTATGGGTCATTCCTATTACATTCTGGGAAATGCACACTAAAATGTAAATATTAAAACATTTTATGCATTCATTTATTTATTTAGCAGCTGCCGCCCTGTTTCAATCTTTCACACAGGGCGTGGGTGTTATGTCAGATTACACATTGAATCTATAAATAGAACAAGCTTGTAAATGTCCTTCCTAATGTTTATAAAAGGACCACAAAGTGACAATAGGAGTATCAGTGGGACAGGGAGAGAGGGACAGAGTGAAAGAAAAAATATACAACACATGACCATCTGTCCTTACCGTGGTCTCGTCCTCGTGCAGCACCTGGTCATATCCGCTGAGCGCCACGCAGAAAATAATAGCAGTGACGTCCTCAAAACAGTGGATCCACTTCTTCCTCTCCGATCTCTGACCTCCCACATCAAACAGCCTGATTGGGGAGACAGACGTGAATAAATACACATGTACACCCTAACCATGACCGCTGGAGGAATACTGTAGAGCTGAAACTGTCAAGCGACAAAAGAAGCACACACAAGAAAAAGTTCATGACCAGTATCTGAACCCTGATGAATCTTTTCCATCTAGCAATTCATGTTTTTCCACAAGCCTGGAATGACCTCTCATGTATAAGCTGTATTTTTGTGGTTTTTAGAGAACTCTAGAGAAGCCACTAACAGCGGGGAGGGAGTCTAAAGTGAAGTGAAGCCATTTCCACATGTGATGGGTATAATGGTTGGTAGGTTGAAGGGTTACACCCAGTACAGGAACACTGCTGTCTCCCACACACTCCCTGACTGCCAGTAATAACAATTGAGCCGTAAATATTTGGGCTTCTCACCAAAAAACACACCCAGCACACGGCCTACTCAACAGCGAGAGTAACAGCGTCACAGGAGGTGTGTGGCTAAGTGGATTGTGCGTATGTGTTTGGATCAGGGGGTCACAGGTTCAAACCCCACTGCAGCCAGCATGTCGTTGTGTCCCTGGGCAAGACACTTCACCCCAAATTGCTCCTGTGGGGATTGCCCACAGTATTGAGTATGTAAGTCGCTTTGGATAAAAGCGTAACAAGTGACATGTAATGTAATGTCATCCAGGAGAAACTATATTTCCCTGCTTGTCTAAATTGAGTGTGCGCAACTTGAACACACAGCGTGTATGATAAAGGCTGGGACAGAAACAGTGGAAGTCAGATGTTACATCCATCCTGAAACATAATTGGTGTCTACAGTTTATTAACCTTCTCCCCTTTGTAAGTCTGTCGATACTTTTCTGTGTGTGTGTGTGTGTGTATGCACAGGAGCATGAGAGGGGCAGAAATATGGTAGTTAAATTAGAGGTTAGAAAAAGCCTCGCCATTCTTTTCTCTCTTTTTTTCTACCCCCATCATCACAACACACCCCTCCACTCGGTCACCATTCCCACAGCTCTGTGCTCTAATTGAATCAGATCTCATTAAAATGAGAGACATAAATATAGGCACCTCTTATTAATTACACACTGGAGTTCCTACTGTAGCCTGGATGAGGAAGTAAAGTCAGTACCGATGACAGTAAAATAAATGCCCTGGGTTAAAACTGACCTGAAGTGGAGATTTTTGAAGGTAAAGTGTGTCTCGACAATGCCTGTGGTCTTCACTCGGGTCCTCAGGATGTCCTGCTCTGTGGGCTGGTAGTCTGGTGCACCAATCCGATCTAGGCTGTCTAAGTAGCTGCACACACACACAAAGACAGACATGATTGTTAATTGGCAGAAATTCACTTCTTGTTTAGTTACCCTAACGCAGCGTCCACACCGCGGCGTGCATTGAAGCTTGCCGGTGAGCTTGTCTGAAATTCGAACAACAATCACATGGGAGGGGGATATATTTTCAGGTGATGGTCATCACCTGAAAAACATGGCGGCAGCGTGAAAACCTGGGTAACTCTTCAACCCCACAAGAAGGATAAGAAGAAGGATCTGGTGGTTTAAATATCTGTTTTGCGCTCACAACTAAACATTAATAGGGGATGAATTAGAGATCGGGTGTAACTGCGGAAAAAAGAACTTTACCAAGCAGAAAACGGACGAACAAACAATTCGCGTCACCTGTCCCCACAATGGCAGAAGTAGGAGAAATAAAACATCTGATGCTCGAAATGAAGGAAGCAATATCGAAAGAGATCAAAGACTTCAGAATGGATTTCAACAAATTTCGAGCTGAGACGGATAAGGACATAAAGAAAATTATGAAAACTGACAACAGAACTACGCACAGATCAAACAAAAAAACGAGCGACAGAGTGGATCAGGTGGAGTGCCGTGTCGGTGAGATGTATGACACAGAAATAAATTATTTTAATAATCACCCACAGGCCTTAAATGAAATCCAACAACTCAAGGCATCCTTAGATTTAGTGGATATTTGGAGACAAAAAAAAAATCCAAATTCAAGCAGGTATACATGGCGCAGGGGACAACAAGCTAGTCGTATTGACTACTTTCTTATCACCTTTTCCCTGGTTCACAAAGTATTCAAATGTAGTATTGGTGACCGATTAAGATCTGACCATGCCATCGTAACACTGCAAATTATTACAGCAGAATATCCCAGAGGGCGGGGGTATTGGAAATTCAACCTATCACTTTTAAATGATACAGATTTTATTGAAAAAACTAAAGAACTAATCAAAGATTTTTTTCAAATTAATAATAATTCATCGGACCCTCACAACGTCTGGGAAGCCTTTAAGTGTGTTTTTAGAGGACACGCTGTTAAGATGGAGTCATGGAAACAAAAACAATATTTGATAAAGGAGAAGAGTCTAATAGAGGAGGTAAATTAATTGACTAAAACGTTGGATGAAAAGCAATCGTTCTGCATAGAAACAACTTATTTGATAAAAAATAAACAACTGGAACTGGAACATTTATACTCTGAGCGTGTGAATGGTATAATTTATAGATCCCGTGCCACATGGATGGAAAAAGGGGAAAAGTGCACGGCTCATTTTTTAAGAATCAACCAAAGAAATGTTGCCAAAAAAACCATTATGAGCCAGTATACTCTGGTAAATGGTATTCTACTTACATCTCCACAGGAAATATTAGCGGAAGAGGTGGATTATTTGAAACCTTATATGCTCTGGCTCCAGAGTCTCCTGTCGGATCCAATATCGAGTTATTTTTTCAAAAGATTTATGATCAGATACTGTCAGTAGATCAGCAACTAAGTTGTGAAGGAAACATTTTAGAAGAAGAGTTACTGGATGCTATTAATTCCTTCGCTCCTGGTAAATCACCAGGGATTGACAGTATACCTGTTGAAGTTTATAAAACCTTCTACACAGAAATTAAAAAACCTCTATTGGCATCCTTTAACTACTCCTTTAAACAAGGAATATGATCAGATACACAGAAAGAAGGCCTCATCACATTGTTACTGAAGCAAGAACCAGAGGGGCATTACAAGAATCCTGTTTATATGAAGCATTGGAGACCACTGACCACTGACTTTGTTGCGATACCCACATTCTGTCCAAATGTGATTGCACGGAGAATCAAAATAGTAATTGGGAATATAATAAAACATGATCAAACAGGTTTTATAAAAGGGCGTTTTATTGGAGATAATATTTGCCATCTGCTTGATATGATAGATAATCATGAAGAGGATGGAAAACCAGGACTTTTATTTATTGCTGACTTTGAAAAAGCTTTTGATACAGTAAAATGGGATTTCATTCAAAAATCCCTCCAATTCTTTAATTTTGGGGAAACCATTATACAGTGGGTGAAGGTTTTATATAACCAACCTACCAGTAAAATAGTTAAGAATAGATATTTATCAAAAAGCTTCAGCCTGTCCAGAGGCGTACGTCAAGGGTGTCCACTGTCTCTATCCATATCTGTTTCTATTATGCATTGAAATTCTTGCTATCAGAATTAGAAACAATTCATGTATAACAGGCTTAAGATCAAATGGTATTGAAACAAAAGTAACATTATATGCAGATGATGCAACTTTCTTTCTACAGCCTGAAAAAACTTCATTAGATGCCCTAATAGTTGATTTAAATAACTTTTCAAAATTAGCTGGGCTAAGGCCTAACTTTGATAAATGCTGTATTATGAGAATAGGAACATTAAGAGGCACAGTTTTCGAGCTACAATGCTCAGCTGTAATGGTTCAGTGGATTTTCTGGGAATTCATATTCCAGAAAATCTTAAAGATCTAGTTAAGGTAAATGTTGAGCGAAAAATTCAGAAAACTGAGAAAATAATTCAACCTTGGAAAGGCAAAGCTCTCTCATTACAGGGAAAGATTACATTAATTAATGCTCGTGTGATTCCACAGTTTGTTTATCTCTTAATTTCACTTCCCTCCCCAGAGGCGTCTTTTTTAAAAAGCTTTGAACAACGAATGTTTAAGTTCATCTGGAATAATAAGCCTGACAAGATAAAAAGGCAATACATATATAATACACTTGAAAATGGTGGACTAAATTAAAATGTTTTGGCAGCAATGAATTAATCCTTAAAAGCATCTTGGATTAATAAAATGTATCATAATAGTCTTTGGAGAACAAGTCAGAACTTATTTTCAGGGCACTTATGTTTTGACTGTAAACTGTTTCCCTTTTTCCAATTAATATCTCACCACTTTGAATGGTTATTCAAAGAAATATTAGTAGACATTTCACCATTTGTTAAAGATGCATTGAAGGCTTGGTTGAGTTTCCAGTATTACCCCCCAGATACACCAGAATAAATCCAAAATCAATTAATATGGTTGAACTCAGAAGTTTTAATAGATGGAAAACCACTATTATGGGAAAGTCTCCTGAGAAAAGGAATTATTTTCATAAATTATTTACTAGATAGCACAGGTAATTTAATTTCATAATCAGATATGTGATTTCCTTCACTTTAACCAGCTGCTTTCAGCTATTCCAACTAACTGGAAACGTAAATTTAAAAAAGATGGAAACCGACAACAGTACACCTCACACAAGAAGTCAGAAATGGCTATCAAAAATTGAAAATAAATAAAATAATTTATAATCACTGTTTCCAGGGCAAGGGCCTTACTGCTTTTCCTCATGCGGTCTGTTCTTTCTGGGAAGAGGAATTTAATATTCTGATACCCTGGAAACAATTTTTTAGAACCATATACACAACAACAATTGATTCCTATTCAAGAATCTTCCAACTGAAGATCTTTTACAAGATTATCGCTACAAAAAAACAACTTGACACTTTTAATATCGAACCGTCACCACTTTGTAGATTCTGTGAGGAGGAAGAGGAAGACCAGATGCATTTTTTTTTTTTATTGTCCATACGTTGCAAGACTGTGGACTGAGATTCAAAATTGGCTTACGACACTTAATATTGATTTTGCATTTACTCCCTTTGGTCTTTTGTTTGGGCTTTTGGTTGAGGACAATACACAGTTGATGAATACAATTATTCTTCTGGCAAAAATACTTATTTTTAAAGCTCAATCAAGAAAAAATCTGAATTTAAGGTGTGAGAAAAGTAGATTAAAAACACAATTTATTTTGGAAAGGATGATTGCCACAAAGAATCAAAAGGTGGCTCAACACACCATGAAATGGGAAACAATTAGCTCTAGCGAAGAGTGGGATAAAAAGGAATAATAAATGTTTTTTGATGATATTGGACTGTCAACCTATTTTTGGTTTGTTTATGAAATGTTGAAGTGACTAACTTATTTATTTTTTCTGTTTTTTTTTTGTTGTTGTCTGAGATAGGAATGTCTCATTTTGTCATTGCAATGTCCATGTTTTGTGTCTGTAGCCTGTACAATAAATACATTTATATAAAAAAAAAAAAACAAAAAAAAAAAACAACCAATCACACTAATCTCCCGCCCCGGAGCACACGGTTTGATTGGCTAGAACTTGTACTGGCATATGATTTGATTGGCTGACGCTTCCGCCGAAGCTTCAAAAGTTGAACATTGCTCAACTTTTGAAGCGAGCAACGCGAAGCAACGCGAAGCAACGCGAAGCAACGCGAAGCAATGCGAAGCAACGCTCCCACAATGCAGTTTGGTAAAGCGTGACGTCACCCCATTCAAAGTGAATGGGCAGAAGCGTTGAGGCTTCAACGCACGCCACCGTGTGGACAGGCCGTAACCAGACGCGATAGGCCTGTCAAACTTTGGATTGCTCCAAATGCGGAAGGGGTGAAAATGAGGCTCCAGTGAGAGAGATATTCAGCAATTAAAGAGTTTGGAGGACTGTGTCATTTTAGCCTTTTCTTGAAGTACATCATTAACTAACAGCTGTTAATTTGATTTTGGAAAGTTGACACTCCAGAAACCCCAACCAATGCCAAACAAGATAGGTTTTTTGTCTTATAATATTACAAGACATCCATTTTAAAAAAACTTGTTGGCTTGCTCTTCTGTAGTTGCTGCTTGCAAGCCTGCTAACAATTATTCGAGAACCACTCATCCACTCAAACAACTTCACACTTGACACAACACTTCCGTGGGTCTTCTCAATCAGATGAGCGGTTGTTGAGAAAAATGAATATTAAATATGTCCCTTGTCGCTCTATCTGCATGCAATAGTACCATTGTAGCAAGCGACCAAGAGAGAAGTGTTTCTAGCATGTCATTTGTTGTAACGGTTAATAACGGCACCTTCCAAATACACTGCACAGTTTGAACATAACGCACTACTAATGAGTATGTCCCGT